ATAGTGATACTCTAACAAGAAAACAGCGGGCACCTCTAAACACTAAAAAAGAAATGGACCGATGTTTACGAAAGTCGTTCTTTTCTTAACTTGGGCAAGAGTATGCCGTATCAAATATACATAAGCACACACAATCTATTTGTCTTTCGCAAAACACATGTAGCGGCATTCTGTCACCAGATCCACATGGATCTGGCGCATGGAAGGAGAAGGTGGCGGGATCGACTCAAGGGGGAGGGGGGAGGGAGAAGAGGGGGGAAGGGAGAGCGGTAACACAAGTCGAGTTTTATTGTAGGGAGGAAGGAAAGAGCATGTCAAGCACACAAGCAAAGGGCAAAAAGTTGCAGTCATGTATGGCAAACAAACTTGCTTCATTTTTTGGACTTTTGTGCAACTTACAGTCCAGTGAGGGCAATCATGTATTGAATCTCTCTGGGTATCTCCCCTGTGGCGTTAAAGAGCGCACTGACTTCCTTGCAGTCATGCACGTGTAACATGCAAGAATGCATGAAGTATCAATGAACTTTGCGATTTCTTTGAAGCGCCTCAAGAATCGTCTAAGCCCATCGCGTTCCCTGCACTCATGCGCGCTAAATGGGCGGGAATGAATGCACTATCGCTGCCACTTATGAGTTGGTATAGAGCAGTTCAGATGGTAACATGCAGATTAAGAATAGGAACATGATGCCACAACATGATTGCAATGTAGTGATGCTTACTTACAGCTGCTCAAGGTTTCTCAGGTGTGAAAGAACGTGGAGAGAGGACAAGTCCCTGAGAATGCCGCCACCATTAGACCCCTGGGTGATACAAGGAAGGGAAGTACGACACAGTAGTATCGATGGGAGGTGTAGAATGTAAAAATATGAATAGAATCTATTGGTTTGAGGGAAGCACATGGATTTAAGTAGAACAAGCTAGGAGGGTTTGGGTGGATAAGGTGTAACCAAGAGGGAAGCCAGAGGGGATTCATCCAAATCGTGAATAGGTTGGATAGATTAGGTTAGATTAGGCACATGTGTAATACAACGTTTATGCACAACAACCATTGCGCTGCAAGCATTCCAAAACGGCACGACTGATATTCTGAAATCGCAACCCATATTAAAGGGCTGGGCCGGAACAGGCCGGGTCAGGCCAAAATGGGAGTGGATGGGATGGGCCGTTTCTATCCCAACCCTAAAGAGGCCAAACCCAGGCCCTAAACAGCCACAAGCGGGCCGCAGAAGGTTCAGGCCGTGTTGAGCGAACAGTGTTCTCTGGGGCGTACAGTGTTTGAAGGTTGGTGAGGGAGGAGAGCCAAGACAGTCCATCCAGATTGCCAGTCAGGCCGCTGCCAGTCATTCCAACGTGGGTGCACACATGGCATGCATGCAGCAATATTCAGTGGGTGCACACATGGCATGCATGCAGGTATGAAGGGTGCACATGGCACGTTTAAGGGGAAAAAAAGAAAAACACATTCCACACACAGTAGTGAAGGATTTAGGGGAAAGGCAAAAATCAGTGTTCTGTCGTGAAATTGAAAAAAACAAATGAGTCCCGTCTTGAAATTTGGCTGAGAGCAGAAATTGAACTGGAAAGAGCAGGATAAGTGATTGCAGAGGGGTGGCGGAGGGCTTGGATGGGCATATTGGATTGGAAGCCTAGTGATGTAGTCCAGTAATAAGCTGCCTTGGTTTGGAGCCATGGACGAGAGCACGAACAAGTGGGTGAGGCCAGTGAGACTTGCAAGAGATGGAATGGGCCCCACCAGGTCAGTGTAGGACAGATCCATGTGAGATGGGAGCACAGGAAGAAGTTTGGAGCCTTGAGATCTATGGCTGCGTAAGGTTACAGCTTTTGGTCAGGCTAGTGCACAAGGGAGGCATGCAAGGGCAGGATGAAGGTATGGTCAGTTGTGGCATGTGATGAAACGTAAGAACGAGATGGAAAGACGGAGCATAACGAGGTTGGGGCATCGCAAATGAGTATGAGGGTATAGTGCATGCAAGATGGAAGTAAATGGGTAAGGAGAGGGTGTTGACGGACAGGTTTTGCAGAGTGGTGAGACTGGCGATGGAAGCAGGTATGGAGCCACTAGGGGCAGAATCGGCTTCGTTGACTCGCTTTGCAACCCTGCCAATACGCAAACAATACCGGCTCCCATTCCTCACAACCCCCTTCCCCGTACCCATCCCTCCCCCATCCCACCACTCTACATCCTCCATTTTCAGCCCATCCCCCTTCCCGTACACACAAAACAATTTAGCCAATTCGAAATTAAAACACGATCATTGCAAGCAGCGCAGCCAATAGAAGGGCGAAATAGTGATACACACTGGTGGCAAGGAGAGCACAAAGGGCAATGAAGGAGGGGAAAGGAAGAATATCAAGGGGTGATATATATAAAACCCAGTGGCCTAGATTGGACTGGGACAATCGCGGGTTTTCTAGACCACGAGCACAGCCGTTGCGCAGTGCACCCTTTGTGCAAGACCCAATACAGGCGTTACCCCCGTCCCTCCTTGGTGCCAACGTCCTCGTTGGATGAGGGGGTCGCTTCCCAGGGACCCCAAAATAAGGGCTACCAACTTAAAGTTATCGACACCGCAGTTCAGTCGGGCAGGAAACGGATATAAACCCAGGCTCTGAACAGTACAACGCCTCATGCCCAAAACGACCGAATGGGCCAAAACGGGGTTAAAGGTGGTGTGGTAACAGGCACTCGGAGCAACAAGGGGCACTTAGGGAAACGAGGACAACGAGGGATTAGAAGCTAAACAGAGCACCGAGCAAAAACAAAAACGACGGGATGAGACTCACAGGGAAGGAAGAGATTGGCGGGATGAGACTCACAGGGAAGGAAGAGAATGGCGGGATGAGACTCACAGGGAAGGAAGAGATTGGCGGGATGAGACTCACAGGGAAACGACGAGCCCGTTGGGGCTGCAGGTGACGCCAGTCCATGCAGAGCATGCCGTGGTGGCGTTGCTGTTGCCAGCACAACCAAACAGGAGATGGGGGCAGATCAACACAAACGGCGGCGCCAGCTTACTGCTGGGACTATCATTGCTAGGGATACGTCCCCGTTCTTGTACCGGAACCCATCCTTGGTAGCATAGATCCCTGCATAATTGAACATTATTCACATGAATGGACATTGTTCACACATAGGTAGCTCACGTAGGTAGTACACGTAGGTAGTTAGCTCACAGGGTAGGTAGGTCACGTCGGTAGGTGGCTCACGTGGGTAGGTAGCTCACATGGGTAGGTAGGTGGCTCACGTGGGTAGGTGGCTCACGTGGGTAGGTGGCACACGTGGGTAGGTGGCTCACGTGGGTAGGTGGCTCACGTGGGTAGGTGGCTCACGTGGGTAGGTGGCTCACGTGGGTAGGTGGCTCACGTGGGTAGGTGGCTCACGTGGGTACGTGGCTCACGTGGGTAGGTGGCACACGTGGGTAGGTGGCTCACGTGGGTAGGTGGCTCACGTGGGTAGGTGGCTCACGTGGGTATGTGGCTCACGTGGGTATGTGGCTCACGAGGGTAGGTGGCTCACGTGGGTAGGTAGCTCACGTGGGTAGGTAGCTCACGTGGGTAGGTAGCTCACGTAGGTAGGTATCTCACGTGGGTAGGTAACTCACGTGGGTAGGTATCTCACGTGGGTAGGAAGCTCACGTGGGTAGGTAGCTGAAACAAAAACTACGGCACGCAGCCACGCACGGCGCGGCTGGCCTGGCCGGCTATCATGACTAAGGAGAAGTCACTGTAGCTAAGTAGAAGAGTCGTTGGCAGTGGAAGAATGAGAAACTAGGCTGAGAGAGAGACGCCTAGCTCCAAGAGACGAGAGATGAAGAGAACAAGGATCAAGAAGATATGAATACCGTGTCGCCACTCAATCTAGCATGGTATCTCGGCATAGCTCCTCGATGCCATGCCTTGCTGTACTATACTACCATCACAAAGCTTGGGCTCCAGCCCGGTACAGGCCCCCAGACAAAAATAGAATCGAGGAGCACCAGGGGGTGCTCTGGAAACGAGGGTGTACAGTGTGTGATCTGCTGTGCGGTTGGGTTGGGGTGCTCGAGATGGCGAAATGGCCGGAAGCGTGGGGCGAAGTCGGCCACCCAGGATCTCACCAGGTTTAGACCTAGCGCAGCCCTGCGTGGCTCACTGAAACCCACCAGGTTTCCACCGAAAGCTCCGCGACCCCCCAAAAAACCGAAAGAACCCAACTCGTTCTTACGCGCCGATGCATGCGCGACTCGGTAGAAAACAAATGCGACTATTCGGGTACATTGACAAGCGGGACATTCCGCGCATGCAACTGCGCGCTCGCGAAAAAAAGGAGTGCTACTATTGGTTGCGATTTCTCGCAACATATCGCGAACAAAATTCGCACAAGGATAGGTTCAGAAAGCGAGGTGTGAGATTCAGTTCGGAAACACCTGGCGCGATCTGGTAGGCTCCATGCTGGCTGACACGTGCAGCAATTTGAACGAGCCACACAGCTGTCACTGTTTGGTCGAGTCGCGATCGCGGTAACGTGTCAAGCACGTCCACGCAGCGTCTGGTCATTACTCCCAGCATGCCCACATTCTCGCTTTTCGCTCGTCAGTTGCACACCAAGCTCCTCCCTCACGTGACCCACTGGATTCACCGGACTTAGTCGGAAAACGGGACACTAGTGTCGCTGTTGCGATGTGGGTCGCGCTCGGATGTTAGTGAGCACTGCGGTCGCGTTGTAGATAAGTATAATTCACACGCGGTTGTACCCGTAGAGACCGCGCATCATGTTGTCGCGCGGAGTAAATAGGAGTAGGGGCAATTTCGCACGCTGCATGCATACCGTGAATCGCGTCGCTGCGCCATTACTTCAAGACTCCATCAATGCACCAGGCAACTCAGCCCCGCCCCGAATCCACAATGCTGAACCGCCAAGCGCTCCCGTGCAAAACATGCACGCGCACAACCCCCCATGGAGCACCCCATACGTGCAGCCTGTGGTTTTTGGGTCGCGGATGCCCGCGTTCCACCCACAGCAACTGGTCAACGGGGCCCACCTAGCACCGCGGACACAGATACCGTTTGCACCATCGACGGTCGCGTTTCATGCCCAGCAGGAGGATTTGAACGCGCATGGAGTATCCACGCCGCATCCCGGACAACCGATTGATGGACAACACACCGCGTCCGCGTCAGTGCCCACAAGCCAGCTCTTTGGGATGCCCGTTCGTGGCTTTGTAGGGCCGCAATACGCGAACGTGGGATTCAGGTAAGGGTACATTGGCGTTCAGCCAGACCCCAAGCTGCATGCGCCCGTATCTGTCGCGACGCCTCCAGTCGCGCCGTCAACCCCATTCCCCAGCGCGATTCAGCCGGAAATCCAGGCAACGGTGCAAGCCCCGCGGGACCGCATAGAGCCTTTAATGATGGGTGTGGACGCACAGGCGCGAGCAGACGGCCCATCAGCGATCGCGGTTCCAGATGGTTCAGGGCGTGCGGAGAATGGTGGAGCGGAAATAAATGCAAGCGCGCGTGCATTTTTGCCGGCGATCTGGAACGTGAACTCGCTGTTGCCGGGAAACCCGGACGTCCACATCTGCACCCCCGCGCAACCGACTGCAGCGGGTGCGACCGGTAGAGATGGGCAACCACAGGAGAACGCGGGGAACGCGGGGCATGGTGCGGGTGCAAGAGGGAACGCTGAAAGAGGAAGAGGGACTGGTGCGAGATGGGACGCGGGAAGAGGGACTGGTGCGAGAGGGAACGCGGGAAGAGGGAGAGGTGCGAGAGGGGACGCGGGAAGAGGGACGAGTGAGAGAGGGAACGCGGCTAGAGGGAGATGTGCGAGAGGATGGGGTGGGAAAGCGAGCGCGGGACGGGGGACCGGTTTAGAAGGGAACGGGGGTGGTGCGAACGGAGGGGAAGCGCCCGGGGGAACAGGTAACGGCGGCAGAGGTAACGGTATCAACGCGAACGGAAATACCGGGCACGGGCCAGTTAATAGACCGCGTATAAGGAGGAGGCGAGTCGATGTCGTGCCGGACAACGCACGCAACGGATCCGGGGAGGGGAGCGAGGGGGCAAGCGATGAGGATGACGAGGACGACGATGAGAATGCGGATGTCAGTTGGAATGACGATGACGAGAACTACCTATCTAACTCTATGTCCGCGCTCAATGAGGATGAAGCTGAAGACAATGAACGAGTGCGGGGTACGCAAACGGACAGCGAGGTTCCTATCGCGGATTGGAACAGGCTCGGTGTGGACGACACACCGGCAGCCAAACGGGAGATGTGCATGGGTATCCTCTACGGTGTCTCTGAGGCCACGCTGAAAAAGTATCGTGGTTGGGCCAACGAATACAAGCGGTTTATGGCCCACGAGCTGCCGAAACTGGACGCGGGGAGGTTCGGGGAGGAGGTCGCGTTAAGAGACGGGAACCCCGACGAGATCGGGGCCGCGCTCAAACAGAGCATGGGTGGTAGTTGGAAGATGGCGAGGGGCGAGGAGCAATGGTTCCACGGCCCAGAGACGAATCCGTGGCGGCTAAGGAAATACGTGACATTCCTGGTGAACGAGACGGTCGCACAGGCGGACAGGATGGCAACACTGAAGCGGCCCGACAAGACATTGAAGAAGAGACGCCAGTGCACCTGTCCCTGCAATGCTGATGGGGCGTCTCAAGGCTCTGAACATGCTCATCAAGCTGGATGGGGCCATCTTCAGGAAACCCGTCCTGAACCTGCTGCGCGACTTTGCGGAGTGTCGCATATGGGTCCCCGTTCAAGTACGCGACCAGTACAAGCGGTTTATCGCGTAAGTATATGTACTCATTGACCGCGTTTAAGGTCCAACAAAACCGCGGATGCCTAACACCGGCACTATCGTCCAACTGGATGCGCAGGGAACACATGGATCGCCATCATGGCACGGCCGCGGACACGTACACCCCGGACGAGTTCAAGCATATGATGAGGAAGACCAGCATGGACGCGATCTTGACCAGCTTCACACTAGCCAAGAAGGCCTACACGCAGGCAATGCATCGCGACCTCTGCATCCGGACGATGACTGTGCTCGGTCATCACACTCTAGCCCACGGGTGCACGATCCGAAACCTCCAGCTTCCAGACATGATGATGTGGAAGCTCGGCGCAAAATCCGAGACCGATCCAGTAAGGAACGCGTTCGCGTTTGTCTGCGCGTGCAGGACGGGCAAGACAAACAAGGACTTTTCACTCAACTACATCTCTGCTGTGAGGCACATAGATTGGACGCTGTGCGCGGTCGGAGCCACACTGCTGTGGCTGCACTAGGTGTACGACTTGGTTCCCATCCTCTACGGGGACATAGCCCCCCCTCTCGACTTCACGGAGCCCTCGACGTGGTACGATCAACACCTCTTCTTCCCCCTTCGCACGGGCACCGAAAAGCAAATACCGCCCACGACTCATCACGACTGGGCGGCGAAGATTCTCGAGGACGCGGGAATCATATGCTCGCGTGTGGTACACGCGACCAGGGCTGGGGGAGCGCAGCACGCGGCTGCGGACGGAATGCCTTCAGATCAGCTGGCGAGACTGGGGGGGTGGCGCTTCATCGACGTGATGACTAAGCACTACCTCACAACTATTCCGAGGGAGGCCGTGCTCCTGAAGGCTGGCTTCACAGGGGTTGATGGTGACTACTTCCTGGGTCGCGCAACCGTCCCGGTTAGCCCGGAGCTGGAGAAGCTCCTGAGGAAGCACATTTTCCCCTGGGCTGCCCCGGACAAAGGACAGAAACAGGTATGTGTGGGCCGCGCATGATAGTTCCACACGACCGCGAGCATTCCACATAACCCTCTGCCATCGCTTTTACGACCGCGTTGTTTGATTGTCACAGTGCAAGGATTACAACCGCAAGATGGTCAAGGAAGACAAGCCGGAGAAGCAGGACACCGTGGGGCTTAACATACTGAAGGAGCTGGATGGGGAGGCTAGGATGGCGGTCGCACAAGACCTGGCCATGTATTACATACACCAGCCGCGACACCCGTACGTGGTCAACAACCCGCTCTGCCAAACGGAGGAATTTGCGTCGTGGGCTGCGGATGTCTCCTTGGCAAATCAACTGGCCATAGTACAGCGCAACACACCTACACTGACCCAGGGCGCGGTGAGTACTGCATGTTCGCGTTAACATTTCGGCTGTATTGTCAATGCCCAACCATCACATGTTCGCGGTCGCGTTGTGTCCAAGCAGGAGGTCAGTACCAGGATGGACGCGCAGAACCAAGTGGCCTGCCTCACTGAGTACCTGACACGTTCACAAGCGGACAACACCAGGCTGGGCGTAGAGCTGGCCGCGACCCATAGACGGGTGAAAGAGCTGGAGGGGCTGCTGGAGGATCGCGACCGGCAGCTGGCCGCGAAGGACGAGCGCGTGAATGATCTGGAAGCCCAGCTGTCGCGTCTCACCGTGAGCTGCTCAGGGCCGACCTCGGATCCGAGCCCGGCAAACACTCCTGGAGCTGCGACCGCGCCTTCCAATGCCACAACCACCACCGACCAGGGCATGCGGAAGAAACCCGCCCCGCCAACCAGGGAAGAGACGATTCGAGACGCGATCATGAAACCATGGGTCAACGCGACCAAGCCGTCGGACGGATGGAAGCTGTACAAGTCCACGCACGCGCTGGTCGGCGAGAGTCCAGAGTCGCTCCTGGCTCAACCCCGCGGTGCAGTCACGCGAATGGCAGAGCTCATTGGGAAGGAGGGAGGCGGTCAGAACGCGATAAACCGTGTGAAGCGAGTCATGGACTTCATCTCCCGCAGGGTGGAGCAGGGAGACGACATCGCGGTAGTGCTCGACAAGCTCGATCTCGTGTCTGGAACTGTGGGCATGTCGGGTGTGTCGGAAGGGATCGCGGTGAAGAAGAAAAGTGTTGACCTGACCCTGAGCGAGCTGAAGAAGGGTTCCCCGGCGGAGGTGCAGTTGCAGGTGAAATGGATGCTTGTACGCGACCGCTTCATCGATGCCTCACTTCCCGCGTCAGAGTTTCCGGTCGCGTGGCCTCAGTACTGTACCCAGATGCCCCTGCTAGCTTAATAGGGTGGTCATAATATGTTCGCTTTGGGATATTAGAGTAGAATGTGTTTCTAAACAGTAAGCCATTTACCATACTAAAGATTCGGGTGTGTTAATCACGGGTCTTCACTGCGGTCGAATTGTGTGTTCTAACAAAAATGCACGTTTAGTGTGGCTGCAGAACTGTAACTTGTTTTTGGGGCGCGTGGTCGCATATGCGTGTAACTTTACTGCTCAAATTTCCATCCCTGGCCGCGTAAGAAGCAAAAGAGTTGAAACTACGAAAACGGGGAGGGAGTACACAGCATAGACAGAATGACCACCGCGAGAAAATCTCAAGCAGGGTGGGCAAGCTACCTACACTATCAGGAGTCTCATGCGACCACACAAACAAGTGTCTTTATCACCTAGAGTTCACAACCTCCCACTACCACCTTCGCGCAGACCTCTTCTTCGCGGACAAACGCTTCTCCGGCAAAGTGAGATAGAGCCCGTTGGCCTCCATCGCCTTGGCCGCGATCTTGCAGTCGCACCAGGTCATCAGCACGTCTACTGCCTCGTGCGCGACCATAGTGGGGTCGCCAAGTCGCGCACCAAGACGGTTCACGACCGCGGTCTCTATCTTCTCCGCGATCTGCTTCGGTGTGACCTTAGGGGCTTGCTTGCGAGCATTCTCCTTCCTGGCCCACTTGAAAACCGCGGTCACGATCGTGGCGTGACCGCGGGCCTTTTCTTCTGGCGTGCCAGCAAGCTGCGCCGCGGAGTATCCAGCATCCGCGACAGACTCGAGATCGAGACCGTTGCAGGTCTCCCACACCATCGCGATGGCGCACGCAACCGCACCAACGAACAGGCCCTCTTGGGTGCCGGTGACATCGGGCTCCTCATCTGCAGCCTCCTTCCCCACCGCGGCTGCCCAAGCTATCGCGTTGCCGATCGGGGACCCGCGGCGGGTGAGGTCGCGGTAGGCCTTGAACATGTGGTGGTACGTGCATGCATGTGGTAACACGCAACATGGTTAGGCACGAGTGTGACCGCGTTCATGTCATCCTGGGGAAACCAATGAGTGATCAGATGACCGTACCTGTCAACATTGCCGAAAAGGTTGCGGAGGTGCATGGTGGCAAATAGCCCGGTGCACATCGTCCCGGCCGCGGAGATGTCCTCGGCCCACTCACTCTTTTGCTGCGCAGTCAGCTTGAGCCTGGGGTCTATCTTCTTGTCGTAACACATCACCGCGATCGCGGTCAGGTACTGCACCTCTTGGAGAGAGTGATGTCCGAGCCAGCGACGTCTCTCCCCCAGCCACGGTTCGCCCACCATCCCCTCCCCACCCCTGGGCGGAAAGCGGATACCACAGCCCTTGCGCTTGCCGCTTGTGCCGCTGGTGTCGCTTGGCCCCAAGAACCTCTGCAGCACAAGCTCAACCTCATCGTCCGCGTCAGAGTCGTTGTCGTCGTCGCGTTCAGTCTTCAACGCGACTGCAGGAGGCTTACAACCACAGCGGCCTTGATTCTTCGCCTTCACATCTGCAGAGGGGGGGATGGCAGGGGCGATAGAGCTGGGTCCAGGCTGTCCTGTCGCGACCGCGGCGGAGTTGCCTGACGAGGGCACAATCGCGGTGGTGATGGCGGTGGTGGTGGAGGTGGTGTTTGGCGGGGCGTCCTCGACCTTGGCCTTGCCTTTACCAGCTTCCACCCCCGATGTCGCAGGCGGTGGCCCAGCAGCAGCAGCAGCCCCCCTGGTGGTCATCGCAGCACGCTCGACGACCGTGCCACCCTTGGTCTTAAGAAGGTCGGTGACGCTAGGGATCGCGACCCCTTTCTGCCGCTTCCCACCCCTACTGCTCTCACACTTACCTGTCTCCTTGTCCGCGACCCTCTTCCCTGTCTCCTTGTCCGCGGCCTTCTTCCCTGTCTCCTTGTCCGCGGCCATCTTCCCAACCTCCTTCTCCGCGGCCATCTTCCCTGCCTCTTTCTCCGCGACCTCCTTCCCACGCGGTACATCGGGGACTTGTTGCGGTGCTGCACGCCCGGAAAGCATCGCGATGATGATGTTGAGGGAGTTCGTGACGCCACTAGTTGTGATCGCTTTCTCGGCGGTACTCGCGATGTTGGATGACGCGCCGTCGATCTTCCGTGCGACCTCATCCGTGAGCTTCTTCTGGGCGTTCTCCATCGAGTCCACAACCACCCCCTTCATGCTCCCCGCGCAATCTTCCAATCGGACCGCAGCTCGTTTCAGCACCTCCCGCATGTCGCGATTCTCCGCCATGTCCTTCGCAGCAAGCTTGGCTTCCCTGCGTATCACCCGGTCCGTGTTCTGCACGTGGGTTAGCACCTTCTCCACTGTGGCCTCGAGTTCTTCGTACTTCTGCGTGATCACCACCGCGAATTCAGCAACGGGCACCGCGGACGCGACCTCGTTCAGCTTGCGCTTCTGATTTTTCAGCTGCTCGTTCAAATGGAGGATCTCCGCGGCCAGCTTCTCAGGAGCCATCTTCACCAGCTCCGAGTGTTTCCGCTTGCCCAAGACCGGACTCTTGCCCGCATACTCGTCCGATGGGGTCGCGCTGCCAGGGCGGGTGGACAGCACAGCCTGCAGACCGTGAATACACTTCCCTGCACCCGCTACCGCGACCGCCGACCGCCCGGCATTGTTGGCCGCGATTTCCTCCACCTCCTCCTCCTCTTCCTCATCCTCTTCGTCGTCCTCTTCCTCCTCCATTTCTTTCGAACCCACCGGCTCCAAATCACGGCGCTGGTGATCCTCCGCGGCATCCTCTTCGTCTTGACCGCGACCCTGTCCCTCCCCCTCGTCCGCCTCCTCCTGTGCATTCCTGTCGCCTCCACCCTGGGGCGCGTTAACAGGGGCCTCCTCCTTGTCGCGGTCAGAGCTCGAGCCCTCTTCCTTGTTGTCCGGCTTCTCCTGTTCCCCCTCGCCTGTGTTCGCGAGCGCAAGAGCTGTATTGAGAGCATGTGCATCGCTGCCCGAAATATGTGATCCCGCCGGCTGTTCGTGCGACCTCAAACGTTCATTGCCGTGAGCATCCCCCCCATGGCCGTCCGCGATCCCGCACCTGGACCTAAACGCGAGCTCCTCTGCGGCGCGTTTCGCATCCTGCCGCAATGTGGTCAGCGTCCTGGCTATTGGCTTGGCGATGCGAGGAGCAGGGTCGTGTCCAACCACCGCGTCAAGCTCGTTGAGAACTCTGTCGAACGCGAACCCACATGCGAGCGGACCGCAAGGGGCCTTCCAGGAAGAAATGTCCTGAAAGGAAACAGAGAAGTTGGAGTTTAGTGTTAGAGCCCTGCGACGCCGACAAACGCGACCAACGGAAACGCGAGATAATAAACGCGAACATTACACACACTCACCAGGTCCACGAGGCGCGTTGGCTCACCCAGCTGCCCTGACCGGATACACTGGACCGAATCGCTCCCATAGTAGAGGCAGACACGACCTTGGAACCACCGGCACGGTTCAAAATACGTATCTCAGACACGGAGGAATAATAGCAACCTAGCGTAAAAAGAGGGCCTATACTACAGCCGTACTTGACAATCTTGTCCACCGCGGCAAGATGCTCAGCCGCGGCAGCCGCGACAGACGCGGACAAAGCGAGTTTTCCAGGGTGAGGTCGCGTCAAGCCCCAGGTGGTCCAGTCGCAAGAGCAGTAACATGCCCGCATTGGAGGCCTTCTTGTCACTCAATTCCCTGACACATGATTAGATAACACAAGACGAAACGCTTCAGCAATTATCGGCAAACCCGTACGCAAGGCAGAACCAGCCTGCAACAAGTCCCGCTGTACTCACTCGGACTAGATGCAGAACGCGGCCAGCTTACACCCAACCAAACGGTCAAACGCCACGTGCGCGGCCTCTCCACCACCGACGATGTCCGCGACAACATTGGAGGGCACCACCTTAATTGCCTCCTGGAGCGACGCGGACACGCACTTCCGAACTACAACGCTGCACACGAAACGGAAACCATATTGTCACAGAACCGTCGCGGTTGGGGTGCCGCGATATATGTGGAAACAAACCCGACAGAAGATTTCGCGAGCGGAATCATTGGGTCAAAAGATGGCTCGGATGGATTTGTATGCAGACGAAAATGTCACGCGAACGTGATTTACGCGACCGCTATGCAAGGCATGTGGATGACCTAAACAAGGCGGTTAAACGCCGCGATGCGACTCAATGAAGGCGCCTTAAACAAGCCCTCCATCGCAAGGTAGGATTACCAGGCGAGAAAGTCGAAAGAGGTCGCGGTAAAAGAATGCTTATCATCGGAGAAGCACTTCCTCTGCTCGGGGGGGAGCTCCACAGTGGCGCCAGCGATCGAGATCGTAGCAGTGTAAGTAGCGCCCTGCTCGCCACTGTTCAACAGCGCCTTCAATTCGCGACCGGCCATGGCGGGTGCATAACGCGTGCAATTACCTACAGCGTGGTCTATGCAAGGAAAGGGCATGCGGACACCACGAATACCCCTACGAGCGCCAACTGCCTAAACGCGAACGCGAACGCGAACTCTACAGTTCAGAAAATCGCTCGCACCGAAAAGTAGGCGGAGAGGACTTACAAGGAGAAAGGTAAAATGAGCCCGTGAAACCCTATTTCACGGGCCTAATAGGAACGGGACGCATCCGGGATGGGGGCAGACGAGCAACTGTCAGTAATAACGGACTGGAATGACTGAACTAACAAGGAAGGCAATACAAATAGTAAACCCTAGAGATCTGTACCCCATATGGTCTAACCCACTGTAGCCTAACAACAACCAACACATATAATGTTTGACACACCCCCATAGGCAAAGTGGGGGAGACCTAGGGGTCACAAGACCAGTCAAGGCAAAGCAAGGCAACAACAAGCTCAGGGTGGATCTCAAGGATTCCACACAAATTCCGAGCACAAGCTAGCGGTCACAAGACCAGTTCACATGCAGGTTTATAACAGAGCAAGAGATACAGTGATCACAACCTAGCAAGAGTAAACATGCAGGTATATATATATAGCAATCACAGTACAAGCAAAGTCAAGAGGTAAGCAAGTGAGGTCCAGTAGGCACAAGGCCTAGTAGAGTGCAGAAGCGCTGATGGTCACGAGGCTGAAGCGCCTTGGTGAACACATCTGCAGTGTTGGCCTCAGTGGCCACGTAGCGAATACAAAGCTGACCGCACTGCTGCAGCTCTCGAGCAAGGAAGTACCGCAGAGCGATGTGCTTCGTTCTGTGCTCCAGTCTGTGCTCCTCACACAAGGCAATGGCAGCCTTGTTGTCGACGTACAGCACTGGAGGAGAACGAGGCCGCTCTCCGAGGTCGGTCAGCAGGTAGGTCAGCCAGCGTAGCTCCTGGGCAGCCATGGCTGTGGCGTAGATCTCAGCCTCACAACTGGAGCCGAGAACAGAAGAAGAGCGCGTAGAGCGCCAAGAAACTGAGCCAGAGCCAAGGCTGAAGGTGTAACCCTGAGACGACCGCTGAGTGGCCTGGTCGTCTGCCCAAGAAGCGTCTGAGTGCCCTGTGAGAACAACTCGGTCTCGCCCTCCAAGCACAAGCCCCATGCCCGACGTACTGCACAAGTAGTGCAACACCCTCTTAGCGGCATCCATGTGCTCCTTCTTGTGACGGCCAGGAGCGACATAGCGTGCAAGGATGCTAAGAGGGTATGCAAGGTCAGGTCGAGTGCAGGTCATCAGGTACATGAGGTAGCCCACAAGCTCTGGATACGAGCCACTCGGCTCTACGGACTCATCCGAAGGCAGAGCTGAGAGCGAGTGACCGGTAGGCAGAGGAGTGGACTGAGGTGAGGAGTACGTGAAGCGGAAGCGCTGGAGAACCTGCTGCACCATGTGTGACTGAGTCAGGGTGATGGTGCGCCGTGCTCTGTCCCGGGTGATCCGCAAGCCAAGATAGCTTGTCAGCTCACCCAGGTCTGTGCACGTGTGTCTCCTCTGCAGCTCCGACTTCACGTAGGCGAGTCCTGCAGTGTCAGCAGTGGCAAAGACCAAGTCGTCAACGTACACGAGGATGTAGAATGGCGGCAGCGAAGTGTCGGTGCGTAGGAACAGCGACGGGTCAGCTGTAGAAGGCGCGAACCCAAGAGCCGCAAGCGTAGTCCTCAGTGTGTCGTGCCACTCACGCGGAGCCTGGCGGAGACCGTAGACCGGCCGCTGAAGTCTCCACTGGGTACCAGGAGGAAACGACCCAGTGAAGCCAGGTGGGCGGCGCAGCCAGATCTCCTCGTGCAGGCTGCCCTGCAAGAAAGCAGTGCTGAAGTCAAGTGAGTGAAGCTCGTAGTCGCGGTGAGCGGCTATGTGCAGCAGCACCCGAAGAGTAGTCATCTTCGGGGTGGGGGAGAAGGTCTGGAAGAAGTCAACTCCCTCTCGCTGACTGAAGCCTCGAGCCACGTAACGCGCCTTGAAGACAGGCGGAGAACCCGGCGGCCGCTTCACCCTGAAAATCCACATGCCACTGACGATGTTCGACCCAGGAGGGGGAACCTCGTCGACGTAGGTGCGTGTGGACTTCCAGGAAGCCATCTCGGCGTCCATGGCTGTCTGCCACTGAGAGGAGTAGGGACCCGCCATCGCCTCAGCGTAAGTGCGCGGGGTCGGGATGTCTGGTGCATCCGGGTCTCCCTCAAGGGCAACTAGCAAGGACACGAGACGGGGCAAAGCAGCAGCAAGACACTGGAACTCCTCCTGTCTGTCCTCAAGGACGTCCATGCCAAGAGCACACTCACCCCCGACGGACGGAGGACAGACAGACTCAGACTCAGACTCAGCAACAAGGCTAGCAGCGTAGTCTAGACGACAGGCAGCAGCAAAGTCAACCAACTCAGCGACAAGAGCAGACGCAGCCGAGGACTCAAAGGTAGGGTCAGTGACAACAGTAGCAAGGAGACGCGTGACAGTAGGGTGCTCAGCACGATACCGGTCAGACGTAGGATCCGGAACGTCAGGCAAAGAGGACGCAGGAGGAGACGGTAGAGGGACACGCTGAGGAGCAGTAGAGGGACGCAGAGTCATGTAGTGAGTGCCTGGGACAGGAGGAGGACGCTCACGACGGACACGACTACCAGTGCGAGCAGGACGAACAGGCGACGCAGGACGAGACTCAGGCTCACGACGCTCTGTAAGACCTCCTGTGGGACTAGTGTAAGGAGAGGGAGCAGGGAGAGGCGAGGTAGGTGGTAACTGTGACTGCGGCTGGACAGGCGGAGGACACTCTATGGAGGGAGGAGGACAAGGAGGAGGAGCCTGCCCAAGAACCTGCTGAAGGAGCGGTACGAAGTACGGTCGCGGCCGCGCAGCGTCGCCGGAAGCAGAGGAGACTCCAGCGGCCGGGTCCTCAGCACCAGTAGCAGCTCCACCGGCCGGGTCCTCAGCACCAGTAGTAGCTCCAACGCCCGGGTCCTCAGCAGCAGCAGTAGTGCAACCGCTCGGGTTTTCAGCTCCAGCAGCAGCTCCACCGTCCGAGTCCTCAGCACCAGCAGCAGCTCCACCGTCCAGGTCCTCAGCACCAGCAGCAGCGCCACCGCCCGGGTCCTCAGCTCCAGCAGCAGCTCCAACGTCCGAGTCCTCAGCACCAGCAGTAGCTCCACCAGGCGGGTCCGCAGCACCAGCAGCAGCTCCAACGTCCGAGTCCTCAGCACCAGCAGCAGCGCCACCCCCAGGGTCCGCAGCACCAGGAGCACCACTCCGAAGACTGCAGCGCCGTGTGTACCACTCGCGGATCTGCTGAATGGGGGGGAGCTCCTGGGTAGGAGGGGAAGCACCGGGACGAGCTCCAGCAGCACCTCTCCGGAGGCGGCAGTACTCGAGGTACCTCTCCTGCAGCTGCTGGGAGGAGAGGGCTCCTCCAGGTGTAGCACGCTCAGGCTCAGCACCCCCAGACGCAGCACCCCCAGACCCAGCACCCCCAGGCTCAGCACCGCCAGGCTCCGCACCTCCAGGCTCCGCACCTCCTGGCTCAGCACCCCCAGGCTCCGCACCCCCAGACTCAGCACTCCCAGGCTCAGCACCCCCAGACGCAGCACCCCCAGGCTCAGCACCCCTAGCAGGACGAGAGTCAACAGCTACCTCGACAGGCTCACCCGGGTCTACCTGGGACACACTGTTAGAATACTAGGAGTGGGGCCTAGGCTTAGTAGCCTAGGCCCACACTAGGAGGTAGGTGGGTGCGCTCTAGAACTAGGAGTTAGGGTTTACGAAGGAGAATTGGAATGAAGAATGATTGAGACTAGCAAGCAGCAGAACACACAAATAGCAAACCCTAAGGGGTTGTACTCACTATTGAGCACCCCACTGCAGGCTAGACAAATAACATTCTGACACACCCCCATAGCCAAAGTGGGGTGTAATCAGCAGAGCACACAAAGCAGTACAAGCTCAGGGTGGATCACGACGTCACCACACATTCTGAGCACAAGTTCAAGAACCAATAGTTTATAATTTATGAGCAAAGCTAGAGGCAGTCACAGAGGGTAGGTGAGGAGGAGGAGGGCTAGACTGTAGGTGGAGAGGAGATAAGAGGCGTCGGCTGAAGCTGCAGACACACGGGCAACAGGAGTCAAACTGGCTCAGTGGCTACCGGAACAAGCGCCCCGGACTACAGGAGTAACTGGCTCCGCGGCTAAGAAGAGCGGCAGACGAGCAACGGACCCACGGGCGACTGGCGCAGCTGGCTACGACTGGGCTACCGGAACAAGCGCCCCGGACTACAGGTGCTGCTGACGACAAGACGGCAGCCTCCGCTCAACCGCCCCCAACAGTCCCACACCCTTCGACACACACCCCTTGGTCCACCCTTAGCTCCACTCCCACATTACCCCCCTAGCGCCACTCCCTCGTCTCCCACACATCCACCCCCCCGCAGCGGCAGCTGCAGCAGTGGGAGACGGAGGAGAAGGAAGGGGCGACGCACACGGAGCACCCCCACACCCGCCACCCCCACACTCTCCTGTCCAGGGGACGCAGGGGGGGGGGGGGGGGGGGGGAGGGCCGGGGCGGGAGAGCGCACGAGGGCGCAGGCAACCGCGCGTGCCGAGCAACAGCGCGGAGCAGGTAGG